CCTCCTGCGCTTTTCCAACCAATTTACACTGCAACAGTAGAGACCACATCTCTTTAGGCCATTGCAACGCACCGTGAAATAGGAGTCCACTTCCGCTTCTCTAAAGGAAGGTACCAAATTAATGTGCTTGCTTACGTCAAACACGGGAAACACATTCCCATCAGGAATAGGAGGATGATAAGCAGAAGCAGGTGCAGGACCTGAGGGCAGCTGAGTGAAAGACATAGAGGGCGTACGTTCTGGCGACTCCACAGCCGGCAGTGGTCGACCGTGAAGATCGCGAAATCGTCTCTCTCTCTCCCTCCAACTCCAACTCCCTCACAATCGAACCTCCCCTTCGGGACTACGTGCAGCCCCTGCTGTGCCACCTTCACCCTCCAGCGGCACGTGGCTCTGCACAGTACTCTTAATGACAATGTGAGATTTTCAGTGGATAAATAATGCTTCTACATGGACAACTGTCTACAAAGTTTACCCTCTGTACAAAAAGCATGTCAGTTAGTGGATAAGTTATGGGCCCTCTTGTCCTTTGGTGGTTTCAACATCCGACAATGGGCCAGTGATGCAATAGAAGTTGTTAGTCACCTAGCCCCCGCCCCTCCACTGAGCAGGAGATGTGGCTCTCTCAAGATAAAGCCGACCCACGAGAGTCAACCTGGCACTGCGAGTCTGATCAGCTAGGGTTCAAACATAGACCTGTCACATATATTGCCTTGACGATGAGGAGCATCTGCCGGGTGCTGGCAAGTCAGTATGTCCCTCTTGGGGTCATCCTTCCATATATGACCAGAGCCAAGTTGATTTGGGTGAAATCAACTTGACCCACAGCTTTGGGTGAACCACCGGGACTGGGACAACCCACAACTCTCTAATGATGTCCAGCATGCATAGATAGCCTGGGAAGAGGAGCTACCGCAAGTAACGCTCCCTAGATGCTATAACCCCTCTTACATGGATCATTCAGACATATGCCGGGAGATCCACATCTTCAGTGATGCCTCTGAGAAGGCATATGGGGCTGTGGCCTACCTCCTTTCAGAAGGTCACCAGGGGGAACTCCACCTTGCCTTTCTTTTAGCCCGATCCAGAGTGGCCCCACGAAAGCAACAGTCAATACTGAAATTTGAGCTCTGCGCCGCTTTGTTAGGTGCACAGTTGGCAAAGTTGCTTGCAAATGAGCTGTTACAACCCTGGCCTAGGGTCAGGGAAAATAACATAAATAAAGAAGTCTGAACCCGCTGTTACCTTTGTGCTGGTGAGTTTTGTTTTTCCTTTCTTTAAGTCTCATTTGTAGCATCACCGTTAAAAGGCTATCTCTTCGGGATTGGGCAAGGCCAAAACAACAAACAAAACATATCACTAACTGTACCCAAGACTCTAATTAGTCTATGTGAAAGAAAAGGAAACAAATGACAGCATTCTTCCCTAACTCCCTATCTAACACAAAAACAGGAAAAAACGATATTTACAATAAAGAAAACCGGCACCCAATCCCTACAGCTTTCATGGTGGAGAGACACGCTATTCACAATATTTGCAAAAGAATAGCAAAAATGCGCTGAGCCAACACGATCGACGCAGTCCTCCATTCTAGGGAGGGTGTTGCATTTGCAAAAGAATTTGCTAAAGAATAGCAAAATATTTACAGAAGAATAGCGGCATACTCTCCAGCTTAATTAACAGAAATGACAAGGAAAGAAAATTAACTAAATAGCTTAAACAACAAAACAATAGTTAACATAAAGTAATAAAGGTCTAAGTAATCGAGGAAATACACAACAAGATTCTCAACACAAAGAAAAAGGTTCCACGCTATGTTGCAACGAGACTTAATTCACAACACACAACAATGCCAACAGCTCTGCTCTCTCTGCCTTTCGCCTCCTACGTCCCACTATTTCAAAAGATGCTGGATCTCCAGGGACGAATCAGCAGATGTGTCTTTTACGTCCAATTAGGGCGGAGTCACCTAAGAGAGAGAGAGAGAGAGAGAGAGAGAGAGAGAGAGAGAGAGAGAGAGACAGAGAGAGAGAGAGAGAGAGAGAGAGAGAGAGAGAGAGAGAAACTACGTCCCCGGACGTAACAAAGAGCTGTTTGTGTGCAAAATAGAACTGAATGATTCTGGATATTTTTTTTTCTTCTTTTTTCCCCTCCCCCAATGGAAGTTGTGGTTCTCCCATGATTTTGAAGAAAAAAACATTAGACAACTAAACACTCGAGATGTACTTGTTCCATTACTGGATGAATCAGCGTTCTTGAACGAATCTCTTGTATGATTCAAAGACAAATACATTTTAACAGCCCCTTTTCGCCACCTACTGGCATAACAATGTAATCGATAAACCTTCATTTAAGGTGTGAAATTACTTTCAAAAGGTGATTTACTCTATTTTAATCGCTACCATACACATCGTACACAGTTTATATCTGAACTATAACCTTTTATCCCAGTACTTCTGTGATTTGAATGTTTGTAACAGAAATAATGATACTGTGTGGCTGAAAAGACTGAGAAGCTGTTTCATTCATGACAGATGACAGCTGCTCTCTTTAGGTCAATGGCAGCGCGAACGCATATTTAAGTGCTCAAATCAAATCACACTGGTGTGATTGTACGCTGCACGGATGAACCAAGTGATCACAACATTGATCGCACACGTCAAAGGTTGAGGAATGAAACAGACGAATCATTGTAATTTAGGAATAGAATCACATTGGTGTTTGAGTCGTGTTTGCGATCTTTAACGATCTATTAAATTAAAGTGCTTTGTCATGTTGGTGGTGACACCTCTCTTACAACATGTTTAGCTATCACAGATATTATACTGAGCTTTTTTGGCTTCTGATCGCTAATGTAGCCAAACTTTGGAACGCTTAGATTAGTGAGCAAGGTCCTGGCAAATCGCTATAGGTCCACACAGATGAAGAAAAAAAAAAGCGCATAGGAATCGATAGGCGGAATCGAAATTTTTATTTGACAACAAGTATCCGATTCCTGACCTTAAGTATCCGATTCTGGAATCAGAATCAATTTCGATTCCCAACCCTACTCTCATGTATATTTTACAGCATTAGTTGAGAGATTTTTTTTCCTTGAGAAAATTTGGCATGTACTGTACCTGATATATATCCAAAATAATCAATATTGAATCGAATCGAATTGGTAATTGAATGGAATCGGTAATCGAATGGAAACGCAAGCTTGTGAATGAGAATCGAATCGAATCGTGAAATTTGTGTCAAAACCTAGCCCTAGTGACAAGGCTTCCAAAATGGATGCAGGCAAAATGGAGGTGCATCATTTCACATCTCCTAATAAGTGGGATGTTGAGTGGCGGTGCAGAACTCTGTAGGTATTGTGATGTTCCATGTAGTCATGGCTGACTTCGCCGTGCATCACCATTTTTTTTTACATTATCGTTACGTTAAGAATGAGGGAGACGACAATTTGAAATTCCATTTGAGCAGCCAGAGCGACTGAGATGCATCTGTAAAAATCAGATTAGAATCGCATTTCAAACCACCTCCATATGTGCCTTATCCCGCCTCAATAAAAGAAGATGAGTTTTTGTGTGAACGCATACAGGCAACATCTGCTTCATAATCTGACATCAAGAAAAATTATCTGTGGGCAAGTGTGTCTCCCTCGCCTTGTGATGGCTTGGAAAATCCAGCGGGAATTAAATGAATGTGTCGATGTCACTGTGAGGAAGTTGCACACTAATCTTGCAACAAACCCAGTATTACTGGTAACACCAGGACTGGGGCTTTGAATGCTTTCACTTTAGAATTCGCAGTCCTGATGTCACACAAGAAAAGATAATTGTCTGTTGTGCTTACATCTTTACACCTTTCATTAACACGGAAATGAATGCATTTCAGATGGATTCTTTATTATTCTTAATGAAAAGCACAACAACAATAAAACAGTACAATGACAAATTATCTTATTTTTATTAACGAAAATGTTTATAAAGTTTTTGTTTACAACGTTTAGCAAACTATGGAACCAAAAAAAAAAGTCTTCCACAATGTAGCGTAATGTCATGTAAACAGCAAAAGTCGACAGGCTTCTCAAAATGAAAACAAAAAGAAATTTAAAACTAAATTGGCTGTTGATGACAGTGCTTGCATTTCTCATGGATCCTCTGCCATTGTCTCACCTGTATCGGTAACACAGAGTAGGCCTACCGCAGCAAGCCTAGTCCAGACATAGCCAGATGTCGAGATATCGGATATATATCTGATTTAAAAGCACATTTGGAAGTGGCTCAAAACGGATGTGGAAAAAATCAGATCCTGTGTGGATGTTTGTGTTTATATGTGTGCAAAAATATCCGATCTGTGTCACATGTGAGTAAAAAAACCTTTATGTTTTTTGTTTTTTTTGCCAGTATAAACGTAGCCATAGACACTGGCAGCAATATTCTGAAATGTCAGATAAATGTATACAGTGTTTAAGAATAATTCAATTCAATTCAAGTTTATTTGTGTAGTGCTTTTCACAATAAAAATCGTTGCAAAGCAACTTTACAGAAAATTAAGTTTCTACAATATATTTAGTAGCATGAAAAGTAACGGCCCTAGTACTGAGCCTTGAGGTACTCCATACTGTACTTTTGATCGATATGAAACCTCTTCATTCACTGCTACGAATTGATGGCAGTCAGATAAGTACTATTTGAACCATGCTAATGCACTTCCATTAATGCCAACAAAGTTTTCTAGTCTATTCAAAAGAATGTTGTGGTCAATAGTGTCGAACGCAGTGCTAAGTTCCAGTAGCACTAATAGAGAGATACAACCACGATCAGATGATAAGAGCAGTTCATTTGAAACTCTAATGAGAGCAGTCTCAGTACTATGATACGGTCTAAACCCTGACTGGAAATCACTATCTCGAATACCGCTTCGGAGCGGTTTTCGAGGCTAAGCGTATCCCATCATGCATCATGTTCTGGATATAAATCGTGAGATTTTTTGGCCAGACCTCGCGAGATGTCGCGAAAAACTTTTCAGTGTAAGTTAAATAATTACATATTACATATAATTTGTTAATAAAACGTAAAGTGTTGCACATTTAGGTTCTGTATTTTATAAAACGTTTGAAATGGCTTTTTATCACGTAATTTGAAACACCATATTAATTAAATTGTGTGGTTTGTTAGGGACTGCTGAACAAACATTAACATTTATAAAGTTGCGTTCAGAAAATGAAGAGTTGTTTACAGGTGCAAAGAATTCTGCATCTGAAGGTTTCAGGTAAGCGTAGATAATGATCTTTATGTCCAGCTAATGTTCATTTCAGACAGTTGAAGTGTGCATTTTATTTAACGGCAAAACATAAAAATGTAAATTAAACAGTTCATAAAAATACGTTTTTGCCAGTTGCTGTCTCCTGTCTTTAGACACATTTTAGGTGAAATGGGTTTAGACTGCATGGTGACTTGTGACCAGGCCAAAAGGAAATGGGAGAACCTGAAATTCAAATACAAGGTATTGTACTGTGCATTTACAAATGCACCAAGAGCTTGTAACACTCCAAAGAGAAAGGAAAAATTGAAATCGCATCATATGACCCCTTTAAATTGTATGTATGGTATATCTCTTAATTGCTTTATAGGACATTAAACAGAAATCAAAGATGACGGGGTCAGGGACAGAAGGAGGAGAGGAGACAGCAGGTACATGGCTGTTCTATGCAGCCATGGATGAGGCTATAGGGGGCAGGCCTTCTGTTACTCCAGTCAATTTGTTTGCATCGGGTGGGCCAGAGGGACCCCACACAGAAAAATGCAAGTTGTGACATGCCTTCAGTGGCCATTACTCAGTCCCCACCAGGAGATAACCAGTCCTCAGCAGCAAGCATCCAGTCCACAGAAGCTGAGTCTGGGTCATCTGGAATGCAAGAGAAATCAAAGAGGAAAAGTCCACGTAAAAGAAAGCAAAGAAATGAAGTGCTTGAGTTTCTCAGGGAAAAGGAAGAAAACTCATTATTGCGTCGATGTGTTATGTGGTAAGTTCTTAAAAGAAAGAAAAAAACAACGAGAACCGCTGCCGCTACCTGGACTATCATTTTCACACTCGCTAAGTGTGTCCCATCGGGTAAGAAATTCTACATGCACACTTGAGATCTTCACGCCTGTCTATAGCCTATTAAAGTCTACACAACATTATTATATTATCTTTAAATTAATTTTTAAATGATTATTGTGACTTCTCTCCTCTTTCACTGTCGTAGCTCCTCCTTTTATCCTTCCGGAGCTCCTCCGTGGGACTCGAGACCGGTGAGTGGTGCAGGTGTCGCTCATTACTCCACCGGCCTCGCTCCGTTCCCAAGGCTCTTGGCCCCGCCCCCACTCATCACAATTATTATTTAAAATTATTGTCCCTGGATTAGTAGGGTACTCTTGTAATTAAGTAGCGGTGGTAGTGGACAGATTTTAAGTATCAATTCTGCTTAAAAAGATGCAATCTAATCCTGTTTACCAGAAATAAACCTGTTCCCGAGCAGGTTTAAGTTTACGGACCTGTTGCTATGACAGCAACTTCGGGATGAGCTTCGAAGAACCAACCAATCCAAGATCATGCCAAATCATCAACAATCAAATCCAGCTAACTGAGTTAGCGACATACGAAGAACGGGCCCCAGGCCCAGGAACAATGTTTACAGGGCTTGTCATAGGGTTCACAAACCCACCAACACCACTGAAAGAGACATGTGGGATTAAATGTATTATCCTTTTTGACAGTTACAGTGCATTGTTGCTATATTTGATCAATTGAAAGGCTTTGTGTACACAAAGTACACAATTTCAGCTGAAAACATCTTCCTTGTAATCTTTTAAATACATGCAAATCATGCTTTACAACGTGCCATGTAAATGTACTAAAATGCACACACAAACACACACCCTAGTTTCAACGTGATCTCATGAGAATCCGTATGTATTTTATGTAAAATGTGGTTCTACAAAACGTACATTTACTTACGTTTTTACAGACACTAAAACGTACAATACTGACGAATTTACAGCATTTAAACTTACAATACTAACGTATTGATGACATCTAAAATGTTAATTATTTGCGTATGAACAACTTTACAGACTTACAAATGAATCCTTATGTACCTCGTTTTCGTCTCACATCAATGGGTGGTATGGTAGATCTTTCAGTGCTGTAGATCTGAAACTCTGGAATTCTCTTCCACTAACTCTTCACGACACCTTCACTATATCATCATTCAAATCTCAACTAAACACCTATCTTTTCTTACAGTATTTCCTGCCTTCTTCTGACTAATGTTCTGCTGTGAAACTAATGGGCATCTGTGTTGTGTTTTCTGGTTTTGCTGTTAAGTTCCTGTGTATTTATATGTATGCATAATATGTATGTACTGTATCGCATGTATTCATGATTGAAGCTGAGTTTATATATTTTCTCCTTGTACAGCGACCTTGAAATTGCGGCATTAACATTTTATCTTGTATTGTATTCAGTTGTCATATCAATGGCATTATGTTTTCAATTGCATTGTGAAATTAAATTTATGTGATACGAAATTATAACATTTCGTTCTATTCTGTGTGATTTCAGCTGCCAAATTGTTTCAAAGAATACATAATGTTAAACAAGACTAAACCCTTAAAATGATTAACATTTCTGCAATCCTTTAACCATTACTCATGTTTGCTTTGTTTGCCGTGGGACACAAAAGGCGTTTTCTCTGACATGCTGTGACTGACAATAGACTCAAAAACCAAAGTATAAAAAAGTTGCGCACATCCCACAAACCCACACAAGGCTCAGGTGCAGGACAAAAAAAGTCAAACTATAGCAAAAATACAAACGTATTGTCCGCACACTGATATAACTGCTCCATAGCAGTTAACAAATAACAAATTTGTGCCTGACGAAGACCTGATGGTCGAAACGTTGCAATAAATTATTCTTATGGAGCAGAATAATTTTTCTTGGCTTTTGTAACTTGTAATTATTGCATATCGCCACCTACTGTACAGGAGTGTGTAGAGGGACTTGGCAGATACTTTACTGAATTAAAGGGATAGTTCACCCAAAAATGAATATTTGATGTTTATCTGCTTACCCCCAGGGCATCCAAGATGACTTTGTTTCTTCACAATCGAACACAATCGAAGATTTTTAACTCAAACCGTTGCAGTCTGTCAGTCTTATAATAGAAGTGAATGGGAATCACGGCTTTGAGAGTAAAAAAAAACATACACAAACAAAACCAAATTAAACCCTGAGACTCGTGACGATACATTGATATGTAAAGACACAAAACGATCAGTCTGTGCAAAAAACTGAACAGTATTTATATAGTTTTTTACCTCTGATGCACTGCAATGTCCTGAGCGCATCCTCGACAGCTGGTGCGTGACACGTCTTCTTCTTCTTCTTGCTTTACGGCGGATCGCAGACTTATAAGTGCATTACCGCCACCTATCTCTCAAATGGACCATTGACACTCCTAATTGAGATTGTAGACAGAGTTTCTGGTGAGGTGTGTTTTGACACTCCTAATTGAGATTGTACACAGAGTTTCTGGTGAGGTGTGTTTGAATGAGAAGATCGGGATAATAATCTGGATACAATATTCAACGATTAGCAACTTAAATTCTGCTCTACACCTCGACCTCACACAAAACGTCTCAGGTTACGTATGTAACCATGGTTCCCTGAGTAGGGAACGAGACACTGCGTCCTCTAGGGGTCGATATGGGGAACGCCTCGTCGTGACCCATGTCTGAAGCATACATTGAAAAAATACCAACAACACGTTGGCCGGCGACAGCCATGACGTCACTACCGGTGCGACTATAGTATAAATAGGCGCCG